CCCCCCCCTTCTTTTTGCTAAGCCGTGCATCAGCAGCGTGAATTCCAAGAAGCAGTAGGTGTTTCTTGGCATTTCAACTGGGATTTTGGAAAAGGAAGATGGGTATTTAATGGGAAAAAAATTGCGATGGAAGGAAGGGATGTGGAGGCTGCACGCAGTCCTGGGTTTGCAGGCGTGTGGAAGTTGTGGAAATAGGTAAAGGGTCGAAAGTGGCATTTGGAAAATGGTGACTGTTTGTTTAGTTACTTATATGACGGACAAATATAAGGCAAAACTGGGCCACTAAGAATTTTTCCTGTTTTGCAGATTGCTGTCAGCAAAAGGTAAAACATGTCCTTGAAGATATACAATTTTACATAAACAGCTGATGTTTACATAAGCCTAGATAAGTTTGTGAAAAACACGGATAGCAGAAGATGCGGTGTTAGCTGAACTGGGCTATCCTGCTGTTTGTCTGTGAAATAATTTATCTTTTTTTTTTTTTTTTTTTGTATTGTTGCAGCGTAAGAACAAAGTGAGCAGCTGCACCTTTACCAAAGCAACCACCTGCGTTCCTCCTCTCCTCTGGAATGGACAATGGGATGGTCTCTGGTTTTATCATGATTAAAAACTTCTTCCTCTTCTGCGTTTCCATGAGTATAGCCAGCCACTTCGGGTGAGTTGCCAATTGCGTTTGAATTTTTGCTGTGGGGTTTTTTTTTGTTTTGTTTTGTTTTTTTAAGGAAATGAAAAACCTTGGCTCCGCGTGGTGCGGAGCAGCCGAACAAAACAGGCGGGCTTTGCATTTCGTCTTAACGTGCTGGTGTCAGGGGGAAGGGAGCGCTTTGCTTTCCTGCTGGAATTTACTGCCTCGTATCAGTTCCTCAACGCTCGTGACGCTCTTGCGGGAAGGCTGGAGGGGCACGGGGAGCTCAGAGCTGGCCTACAGCTGCTGAGGGCTCTGACCCGGGCGTAGGTAGCGCAGCCAGGGGCTGGGGTGCTCCCTGTCCCCATAGAGGGTTTGCACCTTCCCTCTCCGTGACCTGGCGGGTGCGGGCTATAGGCAGCAGCGCAAGGCGGCAACAGCAGGACTCGGTGCAAGGCTGCTGGCTGGTACAGGCTTTCCTAGTGAGTAAGCGAAGATCGTGACTGCTCAGAAGGACGGCTGAGTTGGAAACTTGCTAGAATATTTAGACGTTGTGTTTCCCTGAAGCGTATAGCAAGGAATCCTCTTTCCTTATTTTTGCTTTGGATGCTTTCCTGACGGTGATATTCTGAAAACTGTATTGAAGAAATACTCCTACTATAGCTCTTAGAAAAAAAAAAAATAACCACAACACCACCACAAAACAACAAACCAAACAGTAACCCCCTATTTATATGTTTCTTTCCTAAACCCAGAGATCTTAAGAACTTTCTAAAATCGGGCTATGCAATGAAGTCTAGAAAAGGCATTTCGCAAGTGCTCTGGAAACGTAGGTTGATTCTTCTTTGTGGAGGAGAACAATTATTTATGATTTCACCAGAAAAAAATGAATCCTCCCAACGTGCTGATTCACAAGCACACCCATCAATTCCTTGCTATAAGAAGATACAAAATGGAGATGCAAATCAGTTTCTGATTTCAAGCAAGGTGATTTTTTTTTTCCAGATTGGAACTAGGAGAAAGAGCAAACTTTGAGTGACGACTGCCTGTGCTGTAAGCAAAACTTAGCCCTGTGTCCAGCACGTGTCCTATGTAGGCAGGCAGGAAGCCTGTGACCACAGTGCTGTATGGGAGTGGTTGTAGGACTGCACACTGCGAAGGATGCAAAGAGCTGCACACGGATTTATTCCCCTTGGAAAAGCCTGATCCTGCTTTCGGTGTGGTCTAAGGCAAAACTCTCCCTGGGCTTTGCGGTAGAAATGAAGAGGACTTAGATAGTGTGGGACTGGTTTTAAACTTGCCTTGACATGGTTGTAATTTGACAAAGTGTTACCACACTGAGAAAATCTTGAGGACCATAAGATTATAGTCCTTCCTGATTGTCCATCGTGCCTGCAGAAGGCAGCACATTGCGGTGGTTGAGCGTGGCCTGTTTGGTGTGGGGTCTTTTAACCGTGTTACTGCTCTAACAGAAGAACAGGCAGGCGAGGCTGCAAAAAAAAAAAGAGGGTTTAACTCTCCCTTTCGACTCCAAAGCAACTACTGAAGGTAGGAATCGGTGTGACCTGTAACCTGGCAGATAATCAGAACAGGACAGTTAGGGGAAACTGGGACACTTGTTTTCTGCGAGTTACTCAAAAAGCTTCTGCGCACTAAAATGAGATCATCACGTAACCTCCC